ATTATTTAAATACCAACTAAAATGTATGACACTTTCCTTTAAAATCATTTTAAAATTCTTTGTGTATATAAGATTAAAAAAACCTAAAATATTTGGAAATGACTTTAAAATATCTTAAAATACAGTAAGTTTCAATTTCCTATTTTAGATACTACTGGTGAGAGTGAAAAATGGATGGCAATTGGACTGTATCAAAAAGCTTAAAAATATGCACCAATTTTATTATTTGAGAAATAAATACAAAAGACATGAATGGAAAATATTCATAAAAATATGCCCATCAGAGAGCATTTACAATAGCAAAAACAAAACAAAACAAAACAGAACTGGAAACAATTTAGATGCACATGCTAGTGAATTGGATATATATATTCCCTTGTGCCAAAGCATAGTCCTGCTGGAGCCCCCCAGCAGCTCACCCTTGGTCCTGAAATGAAAGCAAGCAAAACGGGTTGTGGGATCTTCAGGCAAAGCTTCTCTCCTATCTGTGGACCTGCTCAGCAATGGTGCCAACATCCTCGTATGACATTTACTCCTCCTGCCTGAGAAAATGTCCTCCAACCTCAAGAACTCCATTGTACATATCAATTTCCCAGAGGACTTTCTGTTCAAACCCCCTCAGTGACATTCACAACCAGGATCTACCATCCTCATGTGAGCAATAGGAGAGAGGTTTGCCTGTCCATCATCAGCAATGATAACTGGAAGCCTTACAGCAAGACCAGCCACGTCTTGGAGGCCCTCAGTGGGGTGGTGAATAAACCAGACCTGGGACAGTCCATTTGGGTGAACCTCACTGATCTAAGAACCAGAGCTGTTCAACAGTGAGGTTAGAGAGCTCACCTTTGAGTATGGAGTAAGCTGATCCTCCTAATTCTGGTTGGACCCCTCTCTGCACTGGATCCTCTCTGTGTGATGGGTGGACACATGTCATTGACGGGGTTGGAGTCCCTTTGTGGCCCCTTCCCTGCTCATTTGTTCCACTTTCCTTCTTAGGTTGTTAGGCATTAGTCTGTGTGTGTACAGTATGTGGACTCACTCCCTGGTTCACCTGACCACAAGTGTGGCTTTCCCACATAGTTTGCCCCAGAGTCACAGGAGTTCAAGTTTGTAGAGTTACAGACCAGTTCTCCAGGCCTCCATAACTTGGAAATCCAGGACTTACTAATTGTTCTGTCTTAGAAACACATGTTACCTTCCACACCAGCTGGCAGGAAATGAGCCCAGAAGCCAACTAATCCCCTAGGGCCCAGGCATTGGGGAGCAAAGACGACATGGACAGTATCGGTAGGAGGCAGGGTATTTAGAGGGAATTATATTTATGGTTGAGTGATTGAAATTAGCCAGACTGCTGATAGATAATGAATGTCTAGATTTAGGTGCTAAGCCTTTTTTAAATTTTTTTCTTTTCTTTCTTTTTTTTTTTTTTTTTTAACTGATTAAGCACAAAATGATGAGTATAATCTCCATCTGGAAATCTGACTCCATGGTTTTAAGACCATTTGCAATCCCATTAGATTGCCAGTTCTGGTGGCCAAGCTTCAGGTGGGGTATATTTCCTGAAGCTTCCAGTCCAGAGGTAGCAACAGAAACCATGTGCTTGTCCATCCATTAAAGTCACAGGTTTTTAAAAAAAATTATATATCTACTAATAACTATAATTAACATTTGTGAGTATTTACCACATACCAGACACTCTTCTAAGTGCTTGATATGGATTAACTTTTAAATATCCATAGTTTTATATTAATTCCCTCAGTTTTATCTTCATTTTACAGATGGGAAAACTTAAACTCACAGAGGTTAACTTGTTCAGTGTCATTATAGTAGGAGGTAAAGTATGTTATGAATTCAGGTTTGTGCTGTTAAACACTACACTCAGAACCATTAAAAATATTGAGACATTTCTACAACTATTGGCATGAGAAAATGGTCACAACATTTTTTAATCTGAAACAAAAGCAGCTTTCAGAATAATTTTTTTGGATAGTTTTAAATACAATACCTACAATTTCATACTTAAATTTTCTAATTATTATATACAAATTTAATTTCAAATGCACGTTTGTTCTGAAACCAGAAGTAGTTTATGATAATCTATTACATAAATTTTATACGCACACATCATCCATATACACACATTCATAGGAGTATGTGACATATTGTCATACATATTTTGAGGGATGATAAAAAATTAATGAAGTTTTCATGTTTTCTATATGGATCTGTAGTCTTGATTTACTGGAAAACAAAATAATTCACAGTATCAAACTGAAAAGGAACTCTTTCCATCTTTATTCTATATTCTTCGCAACTATTTAGATAATGTACGTTTACAGTAGAAAGAGATGAACTAAGATATTAGAAAATCATGGTAAGATTTCAAGTTAACTATCTAGAGCCCTTTTGAGGGGCGCCTAAGTGGCTCAGTGGGTTAAAGCCTCTGCCTTCGGCTCAGGTCATGATCCCAGGGTCCTGGGATCGAACCCTGCCTCGGGCTCTCTGCTCAGCAGGGAGTCTGCTTCCCTTCCTCTCTCTCTGTCTGCCTCTCTGCCTACTTGTAATGTCTGTCAAATAAATAAATAAAATCTTAAAAAAAAATACCTTCCTAGAGCCCTTTTGAGATGAAACTTGTCTTATTTAATCCCTCATAGCTCAGAGTATTTTATGGTCAGAATCTTGATTGAACATGTGCACAGAGAATGGATCAATTTCTCAAAGATAGACTCTAAATAACAAAACTTACAAGTTCATTAGAATAAACCAGAACTCCAAATTTAGAATAAGAAAAAAAAATCAAGGAAGAATCATATGTGCATATGCTAGTATATGTATGCACATAGTAATATTTTGCTACCTATATATACATTATCTATACTTATTTATGTGTGTGTGTGTGTATATATATATACATATATGTGTGTATATATATATACACACACACACACATAAATAAGTATAGATAATGTGTGTATATATATATGTATATGTATATATGTGTGTGTGTGTGTATATATATATATATATATATATATATAAAATTGTTCCCCCCCATATACATGTGCATGTATCTTTTTTTTTTTTTTTTTTTGGAATAAAGGCTTATATTCAAAACCCAAGTAGGGTCCTTGTCCTCTGAGGCATAAAAGGT